GGTACAAAAAGTGATGATGTTTTTGTAGGATGTTGAAAACGATCACGATGTGTCGGATCGGATTGGTCACGGCAATTGGCACCATATTTACATTCTTGTTTTGTACTTGAAACTAGACATAGTAGCAAAAGAAACATAACAAGAAGAAATGAAAAATTCGATACAGAACTGGATCCCATTTAGAGATCAACCATTGCACCTCGAGATATTTTTCAGTTCTTTCATCTTATTTGTGATAAGAATTAGTAGGGTCATTCATAAATCCTGACCCTTTTTCACTCATACACAGAATAAACTTTATCCTAATTTTCGGAGATTTAATCTTTATGCGCTCTACTTCAAAAAATTAATTAAAAATTAGCTTTTTAAATTTATTAATCGATATAATGATAGCTTCTCAAGATCGTATACAGCTTTAAGTTCTCCTCCCCTTTTCGCCCTAGTTCTGATCGATTTACAACAATTCTGTACATACATGATGAAACAGTATCCTGGTGCGTATTTTTTATTGTTGTTTGATCTTGTATACTGGATCTTCCTGAATTCATTGCACCTCCAATATTATGCTCTCTTTCAATATCATCATCATCACCGCGAATATTATGAAAACGCGATGAACGAGCAGTATTTGAGTTCGTATTCGATGATTGACTACTAGTAGTAGCCGGTACAAAAAGTGATGATGTTTTTGTAGGATGTTGAAAACGATCACGATGGGTCGGATCGGATTGGTCACGACAATTGGCACCATATCTACATTCTTGTTTTGTATTTGAAACTAGACAGAACAACAAAACAAATATCAAAAAAATAAATGATAAATTTGAGTCAAAATTGAGTTTTATTCAGGATAGTTATGTGTTCAACGTGGTTAGGACGAGTCCCGACGCGAAGTGTTTGGGTCCTATACATTTTTTTAATTTTTATTAATAGGTGATAAATAGTAGAGACTGAATCTCAATATAAGTCAAATCGTTGCTAAGCCGCTACTTTGAACAGTATTTGTGAAAATTCTCTGTATACAAATGAAAGCTGAATGATGATAACTATCATACCAAAATGAAATATTTTTGCAAAACTGATCCGCCTAATGAACTTTCGAGATAATATATTGTTACATACCATTACTTGCAGTATTAAAATTAGTTTCTTGATAAAAGTCGGGTGGATGTTTAAACTTCTTTAAATGTTCTGTAGATCGATCTTCACATCGAGAACCATATTTGCATGGTACGAGAAGGTAAGGCAGGCCAACATGTCGATATGTACGACGGTGTTCGGGATCACCTAATTTTGTACAATTAGCTGTTCCATATTGGCACACATCAATAGCATCTATTGGATGTGTATAGTGACGTGAATGTTCATTCTCATTTATATCACGGCATAAATCTAACCATTGGCAAGGATGCGAATAACGTGCGTTATGCTCTGCATTTCCATTATGATGTGGGATACAGTCGAAACCATCTCTACATGGTTTTAGTGGTTCAACATTCGATGAATTGCGAGCCCATCTATTGGTATTCGTATTCTGTGTGGTACTATAAAATAGAATTTTGAAAATTTCAAAAACTTTCGACATAGTGGATCTATTATTTCGATTCAAAAAATGAATGGTAGCTTGACTTTTCAAATGAAGTATAGGTACACATTTTGAAAAACAAAAATAGCACTAACAAGAGACTCCGCCACCACTAGAGATGCACTAATTCAAATTTTCACCTAATTGGAATTAGAATCGGCTAAAGATGAGAAGTTACCGTTACATAAACAGTTCCTTTACCAGTTACTGGGTGAGAGAAAATTCTTGGGTTAAATTCTTTCGTCAATACAAGGTTACTATAGAAAAATAACGATCTTTTATAAAGTTTGACCAAAGATAATCGGAGTCGAGGAATCTGAATCTGCCATAAGTTTCTAAAAATAATGTACCTCGTTTTTTCATCAAACAAAAAGTTTTTAAGGAAAATAACGATTTTATATAAAGTTTGACCAAATGCTGTTGGGATCGAGGAATCCGAATCTCTTATCGGTTTTCCAAAATATTCAGTTTGATTTTTTTCAAAAAATTTTCTTTTACCAAAAGTGTCATTTTTTTGCGAAGAACTTATCTTTTTTGTCAAAAAAATGACTTTTTCGGTAGAAAAAATTTTTTGAAAAAAAATCAAACTGAATCTTTTGAAAAACCAATAACAGGTTTCGGTTCCTCGATCCTAAAAACTCTTTCCCTGATGAAAAAAATCAAATTCAAAATACATCTCTTATTTGAGACAGGAAAACTGCTTATGCTCCTGCACGTGAGCATAAGCTGTACATCTCCAGTCATAAACCCTTCGTATGTTCATATACCCTTGTTTTCATAAACCCTTCAAGGCCTTATGAAAAATTGTATATAGGGCAAAAGTTTATTATTCTACTTTTCTTTTTTACAGTGTAGCATGATCTAATAAAACACAAGTTCAACGGTCATAGTTGAGGTCGATGCAGCCAGCTAACACATTGGAAACCTACCGTGATGATCGGTTTTTTCGATGATTCACATACCTTTCTACTAAGAGAAGCCAGCGGCGCTAATAAACTGGTCATCACCGTAGGTTTATCATGGTCTAACTGTTCTCCCCTGTAGTCTCACCTAAAAAACTTTTCATAAAAGTTCACGAAAACAATGTTATTTTCATAATACAGATTTCTCCTAACTGGAAAATTGCCTTCAGAAGGTGCCGTTACCAGTTATGGACCATTGTAACAGAAATCGACTAAAAATCTACCGGTGTCACTGGCCCATCGTACCGGCAGTGTAACGCCCACCGGTGGGGCTATCGGTCCACCACTCACTAGTGGTACCGTAGCACTCGATGAACGGTGGACCGATGGACGGTTCACCGTCACCGTTACATCTTAGCTATCACTATTATCACCAAGTGATTAATCACTTTTAGGTATAGCCTATACTCAATTCGTAGAGGCCAGTAGGTATGTAAACAACCTATAGTGGTTCAATCGTCTGCGTAATTGTTGATAAGATGTTATATTTTCATTGTACAAATTTTCATTAAGTTCGACTCTGCTACTGATTTTGTGATATTTTGACGAAACAAGGATCGATCTAATTCACGAGAAAATCTTTTCAGATGACGGATCAATTTTGCGATAAGACTTATCTCAGTATAAAGGGTAAGGATGTGGATATGGGTGTGGGTGTGGGTGTTTTTCTTTTCACACCGGCACCCACACACATGCATACTCTATCAACTCACATGATTACCAACTCAGATGGTGACCAATAGATTTTTTAATAAACTAATTAGTTATAATAAAATGTTATATATACAACAGGTTATATTTGATCTAGATTTGTTTTCGGTTATGAATTCATTCAGGGACATTGAAGTCGGCGAAACACATAGTCGACGAAAACTTCTTTCGCTTGTGTTAGAACCGGTGAAGATCGTCATCAGCAAAAAGAAAATTCGGCGAAAATGGACTAATTCACAATGTTGATCAGATGAAATGCTACATCTCATGAAATACAAATGCATTCGAACTGTGGTCGGTGTCGACGATTGAATGCACTAAGATACGTGTTCCCACAAATTTTCAGCTCATGCGGTCTTATCAATCCCAAGGTCCAAGGGGCTACAGATATTTGTAAAGTATCATATCAACTCTTATGATCTTTTTGACGAAAAAGCTATTAGTGCAATCCCTGGGGGATTAAAATGTGAAACACGAAGTAGCCATTGCTATTAATCACGCAAATATTGTTTTCTTCGATATACCTTGAGACCCATTCAGTCATCATTTTTTACTTAATCCTCTAAAATTGCAATAAGGAAGCAGTTGATATATTCTCATGAAATTCTGTGAAATATAAGCGGCAATCATATATTAAAAGCTCTTTCAAGCCTGCGATGGGTAGAGCCTGTCGGGTCCAAGATTTTTGGACTCGAACCCGGCCCCGTTTACAATTTGCTACACTCGTACCCGGAACCGCTTGTTTAAAAAAATGTTGGACCCGGACCCGGTCGCTTAAATTTTTTGGATCCAAGCACGATGATAAATCAGTTTTGATAATATATTCAGAAAAGTCTTTTGTTGCTTTTTTGTATATTTTCTAAATACATTCAATTTTTTTTCTTTATAAAACGAACAAAATTTTGAAAGAATTCACAATACATTGTATGCATCAAAGTTTTCTTCAGATCTGGATTCGACCCAGACCCGGCCACAAAAAAAAATTCAGACTCGGAACCCGATCCGGACTCGGTCAAAACGAAATTTTTTGACCCGGACCCGATTGGTCCCGAGCCCTACCCGACGGGCTCTAGTGATGGGTACGAAGTTTCTCTATCACGGTTTATGATGATCTCTGGAGCCCTTATGTCCCGGATCGTGAGGGAAGGAAGAATGGATGCAAATTTCTACTCCTATACACTTCAACACTCCTTTTAGATTGTGTTTCATAAAATAGATTTTTTTCGAGGGTACGGGGGTGGCTTCACCATAAAGCGAAGAGAAACTACGTTTTTCTTTTTTTAAATACATTAAAATGTTAACTTCAACCCATGTAGCCGGTTGTTGCATTATCATGTAATTATTGCCATTATAATATATTATTTTTCATTATAATGTATTTTTTTCCATTATAATGCATTATAATAGAAAATAATGGCAATAATTGCATGATAATGCAACAACCGGCTACATGGGAAGTAACGTTACAGTTGTGATCACACTGATTTGAAAGTTAAAAAGATTTGCAATCAGTTATTCAAAAGTTTTCAAATCTCAAACTAAAGGAGAGAATATTCTCAAAATCATTGCAAAAACTTACTGGCTGGCATCCATTTGTTGTTTTACTGCGTTGATAAAATGCAAAGATGTTTGCAAGTGAAATATTGACTCAATTTCGGGAGTAGCGTAGGAAAGAAAAAAAAACATCTTAAAAGGTTTTTTCCACCCTATACGTAAAAGAATAAAGTACGTCGGAAGAAGAAAAATGCAGAAAAAGACGAAGTTGTTATGTGGACCAATCAGTTTTCTTCTACAGTAAACTATTCTCTTTTTGTTATTATTATTATTTTTGACATCTGACATCTAACGGAACTCGTACCCAACTCGTAACTATTTTATGGATGGAACACGACGCAATTTGTTTCGATAGTGATTTTTAACCCTAGTCGACTGTACTGTGAGCAGTGATTAGGGGGTAACACATTCACTTGGATTTCTGTTGAGTAACATAAGATGGAGTAACTTAATAGTTACTATTAACCCTTTCCGGCCGGATGTTTCCATATGGAAACATTTTCCCCTATAGGGGTACGGCATTTTTCAAATAGCCGGCCGGAAAGGGTTAACTTAGTATATCAAAATTTATCGTGAATGAAATTATCTATGAACTAATAGCTACTGGTAACTTAGTAACTTGAGTAAAAGGAAGGATAAGTTACTGTGTTAGAAATAAAGTACAGATAAAGTGCCATCCTTAATAGCGATTCATTTTAGACGCCCTAGGAAATAACAGAATTTCGACAGAACCTTTCATTTGATATGAAAACGCGTTGGCGCAAAAGTAGGCAATCATGTCACTGCTAAGGACACACTGATTCCTCGAAAACAAACAGACAACTATACCTTTGTCATGAATTTGAATTCTGTTGGCCATTTTATCTCTCAATCATATCGTATCTCATTGGAGGGAATTAGAGGCTGATGTTGAAAGTACGTAGTATCGATCATGCTGAGCAAATGGGAACACTTCAGTTTGTGTCACAAAAAAATTCGATATTTCGTTGATCTGCAAATCATAGGGAATAAGAAAGTTGTGCGAGTCACTTCATAGTGCTTTTGGAAACAACGGTAGACGATGATCTCAGCAGTACTCAGGCCTAACTCGCCTTCTCTGGCTCAGGACCTTCTGGCATGTTATCTCCCGTCATCCTTGGATTCAGAGATCAAGTACGCCCTATAATAAACCACGGAATGCAGTCTCCTTCTTCAAATGCATTCTAGCTCGAAAATCGGCGCTAGGACAGAATGTCACAGAACAATCCGTTGCAGGACATATCGTCGCAGACAAATAATTGCATGGGCAAAATGTGGCAACATATTTTCGGATGAAAAAAAGAAGTGCTAGTCAATATGTCATATAAGAAAAACCTAGTCTCGTGTTTTTGACAATAGAATTTTGAGGGATAGTGTGACTGTGTGGCCGTGAATGTGCGTGTTTATTTGATCCCTACTCACATCTCACACCCACCCTTATTTGCTATTCGAATTCAGCAAAAGTGTTTATTCCTAAGGAAACTAAATCTATTTCAGAGAATCGTCCTCTTTCGCAGGTTAAAATTAGTCAGTCGAATTCTGTCAACAGGATACGATGAAATCCGACAGTATCAAAGTATATTATCATGCTTTTTGTGACTATCAAGCAACATTTGAAACATTTTTGTCATACAGCGAAATCATTTTTTTTTCTTAAGATATATGAAATACATCTAATCTGACAGAATGGAAAAAATTGAGTTTCGTTCAAATAGATTAACACATAATTAGAATAATGTAACTACAGTAAAACCT